GAAAAAAAATTATTAAGGTTTATTTTTGTTTTAATAGCTCTGTCTGTTTACTCGATATTTGGTAACAGTTGTTACCAAATGTTTACCCAAAAATCCAGTAAAAGAGATTCAAACGAGAGAGTAACTTTGACAGTTCAAAAACAACAAACTTACTGGAGTTTACGGAAAGAATTTTGTGCAGTAAGATTTTGCAAATACTCGACTTTATACACTGACTATCGCATATAACGAACGTTTTCCAAATTTATTTACTGGGTATAACGAATGGCGCAAAAAATGATGGGCTAGCCTTATAAAAATATAAAAACACGTCATTATTAATGTTATTACTTTAATTAATATATTTTTTGTTACAAATCCATTGAAAAGTGGATTAACATTTTTATTTTAAAATAAAATTGCACCTTAAAAAACTTTGCGATATAATGAATTTTTCGCTATAACGAATGGGCCTGTCAATATATCAACCGTTAAACCGGGCGTTGACTGGCGCAAAAAACAATGGGCTAGCCTTATAAAAAATATAACGAATGGGCCTGACAATATATCAACCGCTATACCGGGCGTTGACTGTATTTTCCATTCACACGTCAACCATGTGCGTTCGATCGGTGTAAATCGAAGCAATGTTTGACGTGTGTGGTACGGTTTTCACACCGATTTGGCGGTGCGCACACAGATCGAAAAAAATGGAAAAAATTATTTTTTCGTTGTGCGACACGCACTTGTTTGACGTCTATTTTATGAATACGTGGTTATTATATGGAAACATTTAGATTTTTAGTTTCGTGACACTATTGGTCGGTTTCAGAACCTACAAGAATCTTCTATTAATCGATATTGTTTTCGATTTTAAAATAGCGACAACGTTTTACGATTCGTTATTATATATCAGCTTTTATTAATTTATCTTTTCAAATGTATGAAGGGAAAAACCAAAAAAATATTTCGATTAGTTCATGATTCTTGCAGATTCGTGAACAGAGCAATATATGTTTAATCCAAGTAAATTCAGTATTTTATTTTTGATGTCATCTATTTTCATTTCCAAAATCTGGTCGCCTTACTTAAAAGTTTTAAGTTAAAACCACTCATAAAGAAGGTCGTGTAACGCGAATAAATATAAAATACTTAATATAAACAGAAATAAACTTGTTTTATGTAGTTTTTATTTTCATATACAAAATAAATTTTATATTTTTTTCGATTTTTTAATTACGTAATATAAGGAAAATATCGCGAAACTCACTATATTTTTTAGATATATTAATGATATTTATTTTCAAATGTTGACAGAGCATCTTGTATATTTACCTATTGGTGATTAGCATTACAGAACACCTACTCTGTAGGGCTAATACTAATGTCACCAGATGGTTTTCAGTAAACGACAGTACCTAATAGTAAAATGAATAATACAATTTTCCAATCTGAACGTAACCGGAATTTATTAACAATATTATTAGACAATAATATGAGTAGATGTTTGTCGTTTGTTTTCTAAGTAAAATTCTTCATCAGTGGAGACATCATAAATGGCATCCGATGATATAACTCCAGTTGTAGGTATTCTAGCTTTTGGATCTTTTACCACAATCTGTTTATTTTCTATAAAACAAAAGTAAGTACATTAGGAAACTACAATATCTTTAGCCACACTTAAACATTTTTTGACTTACTTTCTTCAATTCGCTTAATATCGTCGTCAGTATCACTATCGGAAGAAGATACCATTGCATCCGTTTTAGACTGAGATTTTGATACATGTTCATCTAAATCGTACAGAGACAATGTTTCATTTCTTTCCTCCGATTCACGTTTATTAGTTAATCCTGTCCCATTTTCTAAAACAAAAATTATATTAATTACATTAAATAAGTATGTTCTGTTTCAATTACCCCTATCCGAAGTCTGTAATGATTCATCAAGTACCTCCTCATCGCTTTCGGGTTTCGTTAATTCCGCACTGTCTAGAGCAAATCGTCTCCAAGGTATGTATTTTTTATTATTGTAACATTTTTCTATCCATGACCGTGTTACAATTTTGCCCTTCCCTTTCACCTGGTTATATTTTGGTGTATTTTTAAAAGCACATCTAAAGTAAAAGTATAGTATTTATTAGATATTAAAGATGGGTGACATTCAAACTTTTGTAGGAATCTTTATAAATTGAAATGGACCGTACATACATTAAATGAGTGCAAGTATTGTCCCAGTCTCCCTTGTATTTGGCACCTAAAGCGATAGCCTTGCTTCTTAAATCTGCTCGATCTGGGTTCTGAATTCCACTGATTACTAAAACTACGCCCTTCAGTAATTGGTTAAATGGCTTATATTTTGCAATCAAAGGTTTGCACTTCTTTGCTGGTCTCATATTGGGCGAACTTGGACGTTTCTTTACGGACTCATGCTTAGGTGTGCTAGACTCAGCACTTAAGCTAATATTTGGTTTTGTCGTTTGGTCAACCTTTTCCTTTTTATTATCGCTTACAAGTCGCGGTGTCCTAGCATCAAGAGATTTCCTTTTCTCTCTTTGCTTTAATTCTTCTTGTTTTTTTGCATCAAGCCTTCGCCTTTCTCTTTCGGCGTCTATTTCCTTAGCTAGACGAGCTTCTTTCGCTGTATTCTCAGTGTCGTCAGCTGCACCAAACATCAGATCATCTCTATTGCGGTCCCGTATTTCAATTTTTGTGGTATCGCAGTGTCTATTTTTTATTGGTTTTTCAGGCATTTTTTGGGATTGTTTAATGATGCTGACATTTGTTGCATTGCGTATGGCAGCAGCCGTGGACTGTTCATTCTTATCTTTATTAGTTTTCCACCGACTGAATAGGCTGGAAGATCCATCATTTTCAGAGTCTGGTGAATCTTCTCGTAATTTAAATTTTCCGATTTGTATAGAACTTGGCTTACTCTGAACCTCTGTTCCTATAATTTTGGCCCCAGGAACCAGCCCTGAAGACTTTGTAGTGTTGTTAGGTGCCACTTGTACTTTAATAAACGACAGCCCATATTGAACGTGTTTGTTAAATGGCTGCGTGCAAATTATTTTGATAAGAGACCAATTTTTTTCAGCTACACTTGGAACTAGAGCTTCTGTACCAAAGCATCTTACCCTATTCGAATTGTTTGAGTTTTTGCTTTCAATCGGTGTCATAAATGAGCATGTAATTAAAATTTCCTGAAATAGCAATCAATATCCTTATTTTGTTGGACTAATGCATATGACAATTGAAGTTACTGTAAAGTCTTCAGGAGCCGCTGAAGATTTTCCAACCAAAACTTCAATGAAAGCGGAATGCTCGTTGCCAATATCTATGCCAGTTATCTTCTGAGCTTCGTCCAATTCAAGTATAACATAAGCAGACTTCTCTCCCACTGACTTAGTCTTCCATTTCTTGCCTTGTGAAGGCCTAATTAGGTTTTCCGCCGAATGTTGCTATAGCAAAAATAATTAGAGAACAATTTCACAACATTGGTATGTAGATATAGTTTACATACGTCATCTTCACTGCTAACTTCACGAATTCTTGAAAATTTTGCAAATGGCATTGTCTTATTGATAAATTTGTAAAAACCGCGCAAAACTATCTGTTTCTCTAGGTTCAAACTACGAGTTTCCTTTGCGAACAGGAACGATAGCAAATGTATTTTTTATGCTGATTTTTTTTTCTTTTAATTATTTTTATAATACTTGATATGAATTATAATAATTTATGTTTTTATAGAATTTACTTGGATGAATTAAAACGCCTTCACTATAGATATATTGTGCCGTAAACAAGGTAGAACAAGGTGCATAAATAAAATAACAGACTAGAGTTAGGTAGTCACAGAACGAACCAGTTCATTGGAACTATTCCTATAAAGGAACGATACGAACTAGGTTCAGTCCATGGCACAATGAATAGGTCATGATGCAATAATAAGGTGATGTATCAAAACAAAAACTTTTTTTTGTCTCGATTATCTGTCAAATTTGTCCTTATAATATTTCAAACATTTGGCAGCATTGCACATCGAATTCAAGTAAAATTTACCACTTTGACAGTTAATCAAGACATCAGCTGCTCTAAATGGACTACCTATTCATTGTGCCATGGAATAGGTAGTCCCATGGCACAATGAATAGATAGTTCATTTAGAACAGCTGATGTCTTGATTAACTGTCAAAGTGCGTAATTTCTACTTGAATTCGATGTGCAATGCTGCCAAGTTTTTGAAATATTATAAGGAAAAATTTGACAGATAATCGAGACAAAAACAAAGGTTTTTGTTTTAATACATCACCGTATTATTGCATAATGGTTTAGTCCATGATGCAATAATAAGGTGATGTATCAAAACAAAAACATTTGTTTTTGTCTCGAATTTAGTCCATGATGTAATAAAAAGTGATGTATCCAAGGTATATTTAATAAGGTAGCCGCATCGGCACAGCTGTTGGTGCAAATAAATGTCAAAAATGTTGTTGTAATGCCCTAGCAAACAATTAAAAAACAAAATTATAAATGAAAATCTCCGAATTTCGAAGAGCTTCTTTGCAATACTTTTATTAATATTTTCTACAAAAATTTGTGTAAAAAAATCTTGCGAATCTGTTTGTTTTGGTAAAATATTTTTGACATATCAAAATACAACAACCGATGTTGTAGAAATTCGCCGATGCGGCTACCTTGTATATCTACCTTGGGACGACCTTACTATTGGTCAATGATTTGCACATAAGAGGATCTAGTTTCTGCAGCTCTTTGCAATGAAAATTATCGAACTAGTTCGTTGAAATAAGACATCGAAATTGATGGCGGGAGAATTAGCTCAAAAACAAATGAAATAAAGGTTTATTTTGGATAATTTTCAAAAAATAAGGAACTTTAAAAATATTTCAGGCAAATACAGGTAGTTACTGCGTATTCTATGCTGCAAATATTACAGCGTTTGAACGTATTTCACTTTTGGTTTATATTTGCAGAAATTTGCTATTCTGATATTACGATAAAATGGATGACACTCCGGCAAATTATATCAAGTGTCTGGAAAAGGAATTTGGCCATACAGCATTTCGGGATGTTCAGTACTCAATTATACGTTCTATTCTTGAAGAGGGTCGTGACAATTGTGCTATTATGTCCACTGGTTATGGAAAATCACTGACCTATCAGTTTCCACCGGTATTTGCAAAAAAATTGGCGATTGTTGTTAGCCCGTTAATATCTCTTATGGAGGATCAGGTAAGAGCTTTAAATTTGACACGAGAAAGGGCATGTCTTCTTGGATCTGCTCAAGAGGATAGATCAATTGAAAATCGAATTCTTAAAATGGATTTCAATTTGGTATATACTACTCCTGAGTACATAACGGGGGAAAATGGCTTGCGGCTCTTGAAATCAGTAGAAAGCCATTTAATACTGTTAGCAGTCGATGAAGCCCACTGTATTTCTCAGTGGGGCCATGATTTCCGTTACGCTTATAGAAAGCTAAACATCCTAAGGAAGACTTTACCGAGTGTGCCCATATTAGCACTAACAGCTACCGCAACTCAACAAGTTCGCGATGACATTTGCCATCAACTAGCTTTAAAAAATCCCCAGGTGCTAAGTACTGGATTTGATCGACCTAATTTGGAATTTATAGTACGCCAAAGATCGTCATTGCGAAATGGAACAGGACCATGGCTTGATATGGGACAATTTATTAAAGCGGCCCTTCAAGACAGAGGATCGGCCATAGTGTATTGCAATACATGTAACCATGCCGAAATGGTTGCTAGAGAAATACAGCAACATGTCCCATGTAATTATTATCATGGAAAACTTTCATTAAAACAAAAGAATATATATCATCATCAGTTTGCCAGAGACGAAGTGCGAGTAATAGTAGCGACAATGGCATTTGGAATGGGTATAGATAAGCCGGATGTCCGTTTGGTAGTTCATTATGGAATTCCAAATGATATGGAAAGATATTACCAAGAGGTATGTATATCTACGAAACAATTTGTCAAATTTGAAAGACAATGTGTTTGCTCTATTTTAGGTTGGACGTGCTGGTCGCGATGGCTTAAAATCCAAATGTGTGCTCTTTTACGATTCTTCAGACTGGAGAACACACGAACGCCTGCGCCAAGATGTGAATTTTTTCCAGTCCAAGCATTTAGAGGCTCAGGCAATAAAAATGTCCGCTTATACGAGAATAACAACGTGTCGACGCAAATTCATATTAGAATACTTTGATGATGATGTTGCTTCCACTTTGCAAACAAGAAGTGATTGTTGTGACAATTGTTTCTTATTAGCTAAGAAAGTAGATTATCGTCAAATATACGAAGGAATCGACGACGATGGAATGCTAAATGTATCAGCCGATGCATTCCAATTTCTCTCATTGTTAAAAGATTTAAAAGGTCGGTTTGGTTTGGGAAAAATCATACTAATACTTAAAGGTTCAAAACGACAAGAAATACCAAAACATTACTATACACATCCAATGTTCGGCAAAGGATCATCAAAGAGTGAAGCTTGGTACAAGATTCTGTCGGAGAATTTACAGGGATTGGGTTACACGCAAAATATCACAAAACAAAGTGCTTATGGATGTTACACTTTAATAGACATTACCAAAACTGGTGCGGATTGGCTTAACCAAGATCCAGAAAAGCGAAATACAATAAAAATTGAAGTTTATTCTGATATATTGAAATTTTTAAAACCCAAAAATGCCAAGATGATCCCTCCAACAGTAGCTGCCAAATTGGGTGGATCTGGCTTAGAGGACAATGTATTAATGAAGGCCTTGTTGTCGTAAGTTTTCTATTTATGGTTCCTATTAAATTCACAAGTAATTTATTTTAGATTACGTACAAAAATTGCCTCTGATTTGGATGTAATGCCATATATGGTAGCATCCAATATTGCTCTTAATCAGATAAGTGAATATAAACCAAAAACGATGGAAGAACTGAGGTTGTGTAAACTAGATGGTTTCTACGAAGCGAAATATTTACGCTTTGGCGATGCCTTTGTAAAATGTGTCCGAAGCGTAATGTTTCCTGAAGAGGATAACAAATCTAAAAACGACCAAGCATCATCAAATCAGCCACCACCTCGTAAAAGGCGCATTTCTTCTGATTTGTGGGAACAGGATTCTGGCCTTGACGATACTGAATTATCATTAATAAGTGATGTTGTAGAAAAAGAGCTGAATGCTTTATCCCAAAACAACTATCATGAATCTATAGAAAACACTGAACTAGATTTACTTTTAGCAGACATAGAGAAGACAGAGGAAGAAGCGAAATGTAAAACAAATACAGATTCTACAACAACAAAGATCAAGGCTGCTTCGCTAATGTTAAAAAAGAAACCGACATATCAATACGAGGATAGTTCGGATGAAAGTTGCGGTGAAAAAGAAGATGGCGAAACAAGTAACATATGTGAGAAAACTTTACCAACACGGGAAATAAATGACAAGAGAACTCGAGTGCTGCCTTCATGGATGAAAAAACAATGTTAGTAAACACACTATTAATTACCAGTATAGTTTGTTGTCGTTATTTATTTTGTCTATTGAAGAATCATTTTGGAATAAAAATTATGAGATTTCCTTATATTTGGTTACAACGTATCTGTTCCTGAACTTGCAAGAATGTTCAAACTTCAATTTGATAACAGTTTTTCCTTTATGATATCGATAAAATAGTAAACAATAGCAGATTTTTGCGTTCTGTAACATACCAATAATTATTTCTTTAAAAAAAAAAAATATATATATATATATACAGTGAGTGTAATATGTATTTTGCCTCAATACATATTTAACAAAATTCTAATATATACGCCTAAAGCCAGCATACTAAAGATGTAAAATGAATTATGTATGATGGGATATGTTTGTGGACATATTCAGATCTTATTTCTGCAAGAATCACTGCGAAAGACCTATTGGTCACGAAGATATCGGCCAAAATCTATACCAATCCTAAAATGATTATCACAAAAAAGTATTTTGCTTTTTATTATCATTTTTGAAAAAATCATTATATAATACACGCTTTGTCTTTTTATAGTTACCATTGCGGGTAACCACACACTAAAAGAGATTTGGCGACGATTCCAATAAACCACGGCATTTTTACGCGAATATTTTCTCACATTTACGTTCAATACATTCTCCAGCAATTTTTCATTTAATATATGGTAATTGTTCGTCCTAATCTCAAAATGAGAGTATTAGATATGGTCGTCGCGGCTTCAAAACATCAAAATAACTTTAGAATAATAAAAAGGAGGTTTTGCAAAATATATCGCGAGGAAAGGACCCTAAAAACTATTAAAACCAAAATCCGACAAACAAATTATTAAAAAAAATATCGCGAAACCCCATTTTTCAGACTTTGAAAACTTTATGGTCCATTAATATTGATCTAAGAACCAATATATGCGATGAAAATAGCAATAAGGTCAGATTCTAAGATATGAATGGTTTTGTGGCAATAGAAATACATCAAATTTCGAAAATAAATAGATCGACCAGTTTATTCGTTGGTGCATTTTATTCGCAACTGATGGTGTTAAACGGATGTAAAATATTGACTGCGTATTCGTCACCAGCTACCACAGTTTTTTAAAACGCAATAGTATTTGACGAAGAATGATGTTTTCTCCCAACTTCATGTACTGTTTGTAGTTTCTGTTGTTTTAGAACTGTTCATTTCTTTGAATCTGACCACGTTATTGCTATTTTCATCGCATATATTGGTTCCTAGATCAATATTAATGAACCATAAAGTTTTCAAAGTCAGAAAAATGGGGTTTCGCGATATTTTTTTAATAATTTGTTTGTCGGATTTTGGTTTTAATAGTTTTTAAGGTCCTGTCCTCGCGATTTATTTTGCAAAACCTCCTTTTTATTATTCTAAAGTTATTATTTTGATGTTTTCAAGCCGCGACGACCATATCTAATACTATCATTTTGAGATTAGGACGAGAAATTACCATATATTAAATGAAAAATTGCTGGAGAATGTATTGAACGTAAATGTGAGAAAATATTCGCGTAAAAATGCCGTGGTTTATTGGAATCGTCGCCAAATCGCTTTTAGTATGTGGTTACCCGCAATGGTAACTATAAAAAGACAAAGCGTGTGTTATATAATGATTTTTTTTTTTCAAAAATGATAATAAAAAGCAAAATACTTTTTTGTGATAATCATTTTTGGATTGGTATAGATTTTGGCCAATATCTTCGTGACCAATAGGTCTTTCGCAGTGATTCTTGCAGAAATAAGATCTAAATATGTCCACAAACATATCCCATCATACATATTTCATTTTACATATTTAGTATGCTGGCTATATACGCCTAATATATTAGAATTTTGTCAATTTTATATTGAGGCAAAATACTTATTACACTCACTGTATATTCAAAGATCACCTGATGTAAACATATTTCGAGCAGCTCTTTATTCGTTTGGAGTATTTTCATTTTTTTTTTATTTCGAAATCCTTTGATATAGTTTTCTAAAGTGATTTAGTGTGAAGATCAAATATTTTCCATAATTAACGGCTTTTATTGAACAACATGAACTTTTTACGTAATTTTAAGTAATTTCGATTTATGGGTCGATTAAGGATAGCAACCAAACTCCAGTTGCGATTTCAACTGGCAATGCCACCTGTAAACAAACAAAAAATTGAATAAGTATAAAGATAGGACAATCGATACGTCAACAATTTCCAATAGATGGCTTTTCCTCTGTTGTTACGATATCATAACAACGGACCGAACAATATTAAACGTTTTAATCGCTATATAGCAAGCTTATAAAATAAAAATATATATTTAAAAAATATATTTTTTTTTCTCAGATTTTATTTCCATTTTATGCACACATTTTCGCGTATTAGCGTTTTTATTCTTAACATGCCTCTGTTATACCTGATACCCCCTGGATATTTTTTCATAAACTATTTTGTCAAAATGCATTTTGTCGAGTCTTTACGTTTTCTATGTCTTTGTAGAATATTTCAGAAAAGCTAATATTAAGTGATGATATGTTCAATCAACTGCTCATTTTAGCTTTAAGGCTAATTTTTGGCTACCAAAAGATGCCGTTGTGTACTTAGTTGAAGCATTAAACCCTGGTTTCCGAAAAGCCCGACGGTCAACAGCAATTCCTCCTCTGTGCAGCTCAGAGGTTTTTTTCGGAGGCAATGACTTCAACCTCAATGAAGTCAAATTCTATTTGAAGCAACTGAAGTTGACCATAATTGAAATTTGGCAACTGGCAACACAACTAAACTATGGTCGAGCATCCCGAGAGCGACAGGGCGAAGAGAAGAGTACTTCGTCGTATAAGATCTCTTCCAGCCGAGGAGGTACCACCACAGTTTACGATGGGTGATGTTGCATATGTCATCCGTAACGCGAAGTCATCTAAAGCGTTGGGCCCAGATGGAATATCTATGTGTATGCTGAAACAGCTGGACGAGCCAGGAGTCGAGTACTTGACCTACGTCCTCAACTTGTCGATAGCCACCCACGTCGTCCCCGAAGCCTGGACTATGGGCAGGGTGGTCCCGCTACTGAAGCCGGGCAAGGATGCCAGCAAAGGTGAATCGTACAGGCCGATTTCACTTTTGTCGCCAGTAGCGAAGACCCTTGAGGCTTTACTCCTCCCCAGCATTAGAGAAAGCTATCCAGTTGCGGATCATCAACATGGATTCCGTAAGCAACATAGTACAACAACAGCGTTGTAGAGGACTTAACCAGAACCGGTCGTGCGATAGAACAGTGTTGGTAGCGCTTGACCTATCAAAAGCCTTTGATACTGTCAGCCATGCCACGCTGTTTGAGGACATTGAGAACACTTCCCTCCGGCCGAGTTTGAAACGTTGGATAATCAACTATATGTGTGGACGCCAGTCGTACGTGGAGTTCCGGAACAATAAGTCCAAACCCCGTAGAGTTAAACAGGGAGTTCCCCAAGGTGGAGTGATTTCTCCGGAACTGTTTAATCTCTACCTTTCCGATATTCCACGCCCTCCGGACGGCATAGAAATCGTTATGTATGCAGACGATTGTACGATTATTGCGTCGGGTCCCATTGTTGAAGACATATGTGTGAGGTTGAACGCATATCTCATCGATTTAGCAGCATTCTTCAAAGCGAGGAATATGAAAATATCCGCCTCGAAGTCGTCAGCCACACTTTTCACCACATGGACTGCGGAGATGAGAATGCCGTTGAATGTGCAGGTCGAGGGGCATACAATTCCGACCACCAACTACCCCAAAATACTCGGGGTCACATTTGACAGCATGTTCAAATCGTCCGCGCATCCCACAGCTATCTGCGATAAGCTGAAAAGTAGGAACAAGGTCCTCAAGTCGCTTGCCGGCAGCACTTGGGGCGCAGATAAGGAAACCTTGTTGACCTCTTACAAAGCGATAGGTCTGTGGCTAGCTATGCGGTTCCAGTGTGGTCTGCGAATTCCAGTGATACGCAATGGAGAAATATTCAGACCTGTCAGAATGCCGCCCAGAGGACAGCGACAGGGTGCCTCCTCATGACACCAGTGGACCATCTTCATGAGGAGACGAAGATCCTTCCAGTACGTCAGCATAGCAATATGCTTTCGTTGCAGTACCTGCTTGGGTGTTTCAGGGACGATCATCCCAACCATTACATGGTGGATAGGACAGATTTGACGATTTATCGTCATTTTGACGATTTTTTTTTCAAAAATTTTTTGGTCAAAAATTGAAAATGACGATTTGAATTTTTGCCAAAAAATGACGATTTTTGGTCATTTTAGTAATATTGCAATATTTGGGTTCTTTTTGTTATGGCAACATCAAAAATGTATAAAGCGAAAGAAAAAGTAAAAAGAATTTGAATATTTGGCATATGTGTGTGAGGTATACTTTGTACTGTTACAAAGCCAACAACAGTTTACGTTTACCCAGATAGATGAAAAACTACCAATCAGCTGTGCCGTTCTCTGGGTAGACAGCAACAAAACAAATAAAAGTTAACGGTTGTTGTTTTTTGACACGGGCAAATTGAAGAAAATTGGTGAACGGAAACGTTGTTATATTAAATTTAAGTTTCAATTTATACAAAGTTATTACAATTTTAAAAAGATTCGATTTGAAAGCATTTTTAAAATTGTATCTATGATAAGTCCCACGTATATTAGTAATGAAAAGAATAATTCATTTTTCGATATCCTTAAAGAATTTCCACATTTTGTGAACGAAGATGAAAAACAAAAATTGGATTCAGAATTTCGCGAACTAAGGTTGTTTGATTTTGATAACATTTGTGAAAATGATGAAACCGATTTATTTCGTTTTTGGAATGCAATATTTGATTTGAAACGTGGTGATGGTTCATATGTTTTTCCTATAATAACTAAATTTGTACGGAAGGTAATGGTATTACCCCATTCCTCAGCAAATGTTGAGCGTGTTTTCAGCCAAGTAAATCTTAATAAAACGAAAAGTCG